TTAGCAGAGATCAGAAATTAGAGTATGACAGACTTTAGGAAACCTCACAACAACTTTAATACCACAGTAGAAACCTTAGGTTTTACTCTCTTTCAAACCTTGAATCACTTCACTCTTAAAATGACTCTAAAAAGCCTCACAAAAAACTGCCCTTTTTAGGACTTACCTTGCCCTAATAATTAAATACAAACTCCATCCATTCCTTGTAATTCACTGACTTTGAAGCATACAATGCACATGTCAAATATCAATTCTATTTCAATGTTTTCAACTCTCAATAGCTGCTACATAACTTTCTTTTGGTCTGTTTACCTGAGCAAGATCATCCTTATAGATTCCTCTCTTCAATCGAACCCATTGTCTTGGTTTAACTGACACGACTTCTTTAACAACCCTCATCACATCAGTCATTTCACGAATTGGTACCATCATTTGCTGCCACTTACCAAGTCGCAGAGTACCAAACCCTTCTATAGCCTATAAACAAGAAGCAGTTGTACACTGTAGTGAGTTGACATGGCACACATTAATATTATTTTGATAATCAACTGCTCCATTTTTAACATCTCCATATACATTACCTGTTTGACATGAGTCTGTTTGTAAGCTTCAATATAGATATACCCCTTCAGTCCCTCTACAGCCACAGCTGACTTGATCTGCAGAGGCTGTTTTCAAAGACAAGTTGAAATAATCAATATTTATATATACAAATGAACTACAAAGGTGAATAATGCTTTTTGTATGTACTGATTGCCTAGTTCAGAAGTGAGCCGCAAGTACTAGTCAACTCCAAGCAGCTGAGGAAAATTTGTGCTTTTGAAATTGTGCTTGTGAAATTGTGCTTACTGTATCTACTTACTTCATCAGTGAATTGCTGAGCAATGGCTTTTCGCATCAGGCCAATGACTGTTGCCTTCTCCTCTCCAATCTGGATCACACATTCAAAGCAGTCAATGTTACATTTGAGGTAGTATTACAATTTAAGTATGGTAGAGTCTACATAAAAGACTAGCTTAAATAAATGCTGTAGCTTATCCCTACCACTACAACACAATTCAAGAAAGTCCATTGAAGATTACCCTAAGATTATCTATCAGGTTTCTCTGAAAGCTAGCTAGTATCCATTCATTGTAATGGGTGGAGAGGTACAACAATCTGCACTGGGCCAGTAGAGTCTTTATTGGCCCATACAGCCAGAACTTAGCATGAAGTGACTAAGACTATTACTACCCCTTAGATGAGATACCACTCAATAACAGGTCACCCCCGTTCCCATCATCAAATTTTGTTTGGTATAAATTTTTACTCCTGGGTAAAATGAGGCAGTGCAAGAATAGAGCGTCTTGCCCAAGCACAAAAAAGTATTGAACCTTTAACTCTTCAACCTGTTTAATATGTAATTTCTCCTTATGATTTCTCATCATCATCCTTTATACTGGTTATGAGAAGAGACAATGCTATCAGCTACATTGTAATACCTTACCATACCACCAAATAATTCAGACTGATTCAAAAGAAATGTGCGTACAAAGAGGAGAGAATTACTAATTGGATGTTATGATTTAAAGAGTTCAGAAGTGTCGACCTATTCTGCTCAATGTTGCCTTTTTAGCCTCACCTTGCATTTAACAGTCCACAAATTTGGGTCTCTGTGAAATTACAATCAAGAAAGAAAAATAAAATTGCTATTTATAAATATCTCTGTACCAAGCAAGAGAACAACCACAGAAACAAAAACAGAAAAAGAGAGCATTACTGAGCTTAGCTCAGTATCTTACTTGACACCAGGGAGAAGACTTTGCTGTTGAATCTCTGGCTGCAGTTCATAGTCGTCTCTATATCTGTGGAGTTAAGTATAAAATAATTCAACTTCCTTTAGCTTGAGAATGACTACGTATTGATGCAAAACCTGACCAGAACTAAAATGAGATTTTTTCTACCCTCAAGTATTATCATGAAAAAAAGATGAAATTTGTAATATCACTGTAAAGTTCAAGCAATGTTTTGTATCAACCTTTCAGATGTCTCAGCAAACTTCTTCTTGTAATAAGCCTCCAATTCTTCAGCATTTTTGTCTCTAATCAAGAGAAAAAGGAAAAGGAATAAGTTGTTTGTTAGACACCAGTAGTAGTTAACACCTAAGAAAAGTGGTTTGTTATGAAAATGGAGTTCAGATCTAGTGCACAGACATTGACTTAATTGTGATTGCTACTAAATGTACATGTATACATTGACTGGCACCTCATAACTATGGAAATTGGGATATTTCTGGCATGCTGGAAAATACACTCTGCAACAAAATTAACTGGATAGTTGTTTTATAAACAGAGTTGATAAATGTAAATTGGCCACCATAGAGTTTCAACGCTGACGTTTTGAGAGTCAGCCCTTCATCAGAGGAAAATTAACTGTCATTTTAGATGAAAGAAGTCACTTTACAACCAAAATGAAAATAGAAGTTTAAAAGTGACAGTCACCTCTCCACAAAAAGTATCCCTTCTCCTTTTCACAGTCAGTCTCATAATACAAGCACAACATCAGTTTGGAAAAGAACAGCCATAGAGAAGAAGTGGTATGCTATTAAAAGACATTTTATGAATCATTATGTTATGCTGCTATGTTTGTTACATACCCAAGCATCTGCTGTAAACGTCTGGCACCCTTAAGACACAGACAAAAAAGTTGTTATTGAATGTGAATTCATATCATAGAAAGACACATACAAGAACATCTAAAAAATATTTGCATATTTTAGTATGGTTGTCTGCAATGAGAACCTTCTCAAGGTCAAAATTATTTTGTACTTCATCTCAAATGAGACAGTCATCAGTTCATGAGATAATAGTAATTTACTAAGAAGGGAGATTGTTACTACAAAATTTATGTGTGTATGTTCTGTGACTAAGGCATAACATTATATTATGTTCTTTTTGGAATTGAAATACAAGATCAACATTATACAATCAGTTGGTCACATTTTTCATACCGATAAATCATCACCAATTGCTTCATCACCTAAATCATCTACAAAAAAAATATCAAAAATGATTAAGAACATTGGATTATTTGGAGGAAAGTCAAAACAGCATTTTTATTCAATGAAAAAGTTTCACAAAATGTAAAAATAAACATGTCAAAAGCATGAAAAAGAAAGATGCAATTCATTTTAATCACATGTATTTGTATGTATTTGTGATATTTAGACAGGGGGGCCCAGTTCAGCTTAAAGCTGGTGTGAATGAGGGCTTGTATAAACAATAACAAAGTCAGACAACAACATTGGGGTCTACATTCCCTACTCTTTGCATGAAGTTCCTGGGTTCTTTAGCATCCCCCGCTAACCAACACAGGGAGGATAAGACGGGGCTTACAGCTTATTGTCCTTATCTGAGAAGACTTGAATGTTTAACCATTTTTAGACCCTGAGTGTTGCTACACTTTGAACCCTTGACCTCCCACACAGCAGTCCAACACTTTACAGTGTGAGCAAACAAAATCTGCTACTATAACTTTGTGATTATGTTTCTTTCTTGGAATATGCATGGAGTGACTCTTTGTCCACTAACTCTGTGTGCAATTAAATTCAGGGGCTTTGTTTCATAAAATAAAGAGGAAAACCAAAGAATTCGAAGAGAAACTTTCATAGTACTAACAAGATCTAACAACAACTCCTTAGAGACACTTTTTCCTGGTTGTTCAAAAGACAGATAACACTATCCACTGTCACCTCGCCAGAAGATTTGCACTAGCATGCTCTTCCTGGTGGCGAGATGACTGTTCACCCTGTGGATAGCGCAGTACATTTTGTTAACGTTGTTGGATTGATCGTCTGCCCTTTGAACAATGGAACCTGGTCTAAGAATCAAAACCCAGGGAATGGTGATAGGAGAAACACATTCTGACAACATTCAACAAAACTGACTTTCAATTAAATCTGTGTATCCATCTTCAGGTTCAACATCTTCATCATAATCATCATCAACATCTAAAAAAGCAAAAAATAATCATTTAGGTAAATATCACAAAAATTTTTTTTCCCCCATTGTGTTGAAGAATTAGCCTTGTAAAATAGCAAACCTGCTTCATCTATGATAAACCCAGCATTATGACGCCTTTTCTTCTTTCTCTGTCTGTCGTCATAAAGCTCATCATCTTCATCGTAATCCTCTTCATCGTCTTCTTCGTCATCATCAACTTCTTCATCATCCTCTTCCCTAGTGATATCCTCGCCTTCCTACACAACACCATTAACAAATAATTTAGTGTTAACAACTGAGTTGAAAACATAAATTAGCCACTGTAAAGAGTTTAAAGGCTGACAATTTGAGCGTTAACCCTTCTAAGCAAATTGCCTGGGGAGCTCAGACCTCCCAGGGAAGAGGAGACTCTCGTTCAAAACTAACCGTTTGCCATTAGAAAAATACCCATTCGTGCCAAATGCTATTGGAACTACGGAATATACCGACTGATAAGGTAAAAATGACCACCTTTACCACAGAAATTTTTAACCAAAAAGTAACCTACGAAAGCTGCGTACAGCTCGCAACTCAAGCTTTTCATGTGTAACAAACAGGACTAATTCGAATGTGGTAACACGTACATGCTAAATCGCGATTCGATGTAAAATTTAACATATTTAGTGGCACCCGGAGAAAAATAGAGAAAAGAAATGTGAAGCTGCATTAACAAATAACCTCTACGACTTATTTTATTAAAATATTTGCAGAGTTTCTTTCCCTTATAATTTGTGCAAACTACTCACGTACACCAGAAAGTTCCTACACGGGTTTGAAATTTTAGAACAATAAAATTGCTGCACACAAATAAACTAAGAGGTAATATATACATAAAATAGTAGAGGAAAAAATAAAAGCCTCATACCTCATCCGAATATTGTGAATCGTCGCTGTCAGACATGCTGTGTTTGAGAAAAAGACCTGGTAAGACAAGACAACTAACACACTTTCTCTCTAGCTCAAGATGGCGGCGATCATTACCATCCGGGTTAGTCCTTCTTCATGTATGGGTATTGTATTGTCTCAAAACATTTTAGATTCAACATGGCGGATTTGATATGGAGTTTTGGTGGTAATTTTCTCGCCGTTGTTTGCAATACTGGAGCTAAAGTTCTGGATGTAAGGTGAGAGATAACGAAAATATTGATGTAAAGACGGAAAAGGGTAAAATTAAATTGACAGTGGTGCATCGTTCGGAATTCAAACCACCCTGAGCATGGTCGTGTCGCACAGCTTGCACGTGCAATTGTGATTAGGACACTTTTGAGCTCTGGTGTTTTTGAACACTTTACAGCTTTAAGTGCGGAATCATCAACTGCTTTCCAGTTTGTTTGAAAGTATGATGTATCACAAGAACTTTGAGAGAAACTTTTCGAAAGAGAGAGGCCAGGTCCTGCAATAGGTTCAATTTAAATTTGTGGGTATGTTAGGTTGTTTTA